AATTTCAAACTGTGACACAGGATAGAAGTATATTAAAAAAATCTTTGTTCCTCCTCCATTGTGCTGTCATGTTGCTCAGCTTTATAGACATTCTGAGCACCAGCTCTGGCCTCTTCGCTTCCACCTGGTCTACCTAATTAATTAAGCAAGGAAGTTACCTCAAATTTTTGTACTATTTGTTTTTATTATCATGCACTTCTTTTGATGTTCCAGGAGTTAACCTCTTAATCCACAGACTCTGTGTGTTGTGTTCTGAACATTTTGGGATGTCTGGATAATTTGGATAATTGGTCAGGATGTTGCTGTCGCTCATGTTAAACTTTATGCCATGACTTCAAGTTCAAAGATCAGTATTAAGGTAAAATACTTCATAAAGCCTTTTTAAAACTCTACACTCGTGATTATGCAATACCTAGTTATTCCAGTTTCTCACAGCAGTAAATCGCACTATTTGTATTTTCTTACAAGGAAGTTACTCCTAAACGTCTTTATCTTTGTCAACTTCAAACAAATACAAATTTCAGTTGAAGTTACATCAAGAGAAAGCATATTTTCAAGGTCAAAAAAAGACATAGCAATTATCTCCTCAAAAATGCCTGCCTCCACCCAGCAGCACACATGTAATTTTCTGTGCAGTCTGTTATCACACATGGAAACATCAGCACTGTGAACTACAGACGCTCAACTGCAAATACCACAGTTTTCTTTTTTGGAGAGAATGATGAAGAATGAGGTTAATTCTGACATTAAGAAACACGGTTGACACCTTTGTTTTGTAACTGTACTACAGAATTTGAGAAGGCCAGTGACAAGGAACTGAAAGAGTATCTAAACAAGAAATACAGCTTTATGCACAGGCTCTGCAAAAGGAAGACAAGAAGAATACAGAAAGATACGAAAAAGCTCTCAATATCGATGCAGGAGATTACAGTTACTTCAGGTATTCCAATAGCTCAGTTAATAGCACAGACTAAGGTGTAACGTATCACAATGACCTCCAACTGCTTCAACAGTCTTGAAAAACCTAATTCACGCATGCATGAAAACACACGTGTGCATAAATACACACATGGCATGTACACATACATATATTATCCACCTCCAATATTGCTTTTATAATTATTTTCCTGATAACAAAAGTCTGCAACTGCCATGAAATGGAAAAAAACTATAGCAAGGAACAGTACTTAAGCTCTTTAAAAGGGCATGGTCAACCCCCTTAGGCCCAAAATGCCCTTTTTGAATTAACATAGTGTTTTTAATTAAAAACGAGGCAGAGAATCAGTTTGATTTTCAGTACAAGACTGCATCCGTCCATGGTGAGTGCCTAATTTCCGTATTTCTCTCCCCTGCACAATACGCCAAGTCCTTGGTTGTTTTAAACTGTTGCCCTAGGGAATCAAAAAGAGTCTATAAGAGGGGCCATGTGCCTTTTAGAAAGTATACTAGCAACCAAGAAAAAAAAGCCATAGTAAATTGGAAGATGGTTAATCAAACCCATTCTGATTCATGAAACTTAAACATTTAAGGGGGCAATGCTTCCTTATAAGAATAAGGAAAGAAAAGTTATACAACACTTGTAATAGTAACCTATAAGCTATATGAAATATCATGGCTTGCAAAAAGTCCACATTACAGTGAATGCATAATATCAACTTTTATAGCATAATCTATGATAAACACTCAAACAGACTAACATTACTGCTGCAATTTAAGATTAACAAAGATATGCATTAAAAAAAAACACATTCAATTTCAGATCTGAACCTCTTAATCATCCATTTTCAGAACTTCTATTAAAATCCAACAAGTAACCTTTACATGAACACCTCCAAATAGACATCTGGACTGTGCACACCTAAATCTCAAATGACCTATTCATTCATAATAATGAAGGTAATTCCATGACAAATTCAAGATAGTGTGCACAAAAACTTCCACTGGAACAGTCTTTTTATCCAAATTTTGAGCTGAACTGGGTATCTAGAATCAACTGCTTT